AACCACACTTATGACTTGGTAAAGTTGCCTAAAGAAAAGAAAGCTCTCAAGAATAAATGGGTTTATAAATTGAAGAATTGAAAATAATAGCTCACAACAAAGATACAAGGCATGACTAGTTGTGAAAGGATTCGGTTAGAAGAAATGTATTGACTTTGAAGAAATATTTTCTCCTATGGTGAAAATGCCCTCTATCCGAGTTGTTCTTGGTTTGGCTGCTCGCTTGAATTTAGAAGTTGAGCAACTTGATATGAAAATAACATTTCTTCATGGTAACTTAGAAGAAGAAATTTAAATGGAGCAACCAGAATGTTTTAAAGTCAAGGGAAAAGAAAATCTGGTGTGTAAGCTTAGGAAAAGCTTATATGGACTCAAACAGGCACCTAGACAATGGTATAAGAAGTTTGATTCATTTATGATGAGCCAAAGGTATAATAGAATAACATCTGATCATTGTGTGTTTATGAAGAAATTTTCAGATGATGATTTCATTATTCTCTTGCTATATGTTGATGATATATTAATTGTTGGCCATGATGCTGGTAAAATTGAAAAGCTTAAAAGAGAGTTAAGTAAGTCTTTTACCATGAAAGATTTGGGATCGGTGAAACAAAGACTAGCCATGAAGATTCTTCGTGATAGGAAGAAAAAGAAGATTTGGTTATCTCAGGAGACTTACATTGAAAAGGTTCTTGAAAGATTCAACATGAATAAAGCTAAAGCAGTTTGTTCTCCACTTACAGGTCATTTCAAGCTTAGTTCGAAACAATGCCCTACAAGTGAGAAAGAAAAAGAAGAAATGTCTAGAATGCCTTACTCATCTGCAGTAGGCAGTTTAATGTATGCTATGGTTTGTACTATGCCAGATATAACTCATGCAGTTGGAGTTGTCAGTCAATTTCTCTCTAATCCTGGTAAAGAACATTGGGCAGCAGTGAAATGGATATTAAAATATATAAGAGGTACTTCCAGGTTGTGTTTATGTTTTGGTAGTGATGAACTTGTGTTAAAAATGTACACAGATGCAGACATGATAGGTGATACTGATTCCAAGAAGTCCACTTCGGGGTTCTTGATGACATTTGCAAGGGGAGCAGTCTCTTAGCAGTCTAAGTTATAGAATTATGTTGCTCTATAAGCAGAATACATAGTAATTACTAAAGCCTACAAGGAAGCTTTATAGATGAAAAAGTTTCTATAGGAATTAGGCTTGAAACATGAAGGATATACTATTTACTGTGACAATCAGAGCGTCATTCACCTCTCCAAGAATTCAACATACTATTCTAGATCCAAGCATATTGATGTGAGATATCACTAGATTCGTGATGTACTTGAGAT